TACCGGGAACAAATGAAGATTTATGACAATCAGGTGAAGATGTTAGAGTTGGTGTCCAAATTGCAGCCCAACATCCAATTACCTACGATTGCTCGTCCAGAACCAGTTGACCTAGACGCTCCTCTGCCTCCTTCAGATGATGACAGTCCTGATGATGATTCAGCTGTTGGCGATGCTGCAAACTTAGACGAATAGTTCCGTTATATGATCTATTTTATTTTTCACTTTATTTAGACTTTTATATTTTTTTGAACATTATATATACACTTCATGTAGTATTCATAATATATTTTATAAATTTATTTAGATTTACTGTTTTTAATATTAATTTATATTTCACTTTTAATGTATCTTAATAAATTATATTCAGTATGTAACATAATAACGTTTAATTAAAATTATTAAAAATTAATTAATTACCATTTTTTAAAAAATTGAAAAAAAAAATTTATTTCAGTTTTTTGCGACGACTTTTTTATTAGTGTCGTCGCAAAAAAAGAAGATTATTTGCGACGACATTTTAAAATTTATCGTCGCAAAAAATATTATATCACGAGAATTTCATAACGGCATATTAGCGACGCTTGTCGTCGCAAAAAAAGTTTTTGCGACGACATATCTGCGACGACATGTCGTCGCAAAAACTATTATTTGCGACGACACTGGGGTTTTTGCGACGACTTTTTGTCGTCGCAAAAACCCCTTTTCTTGTAGTTTCATGATCATGATCATGATGAAAAGCAATCAGAGGAGCCTCCATTGATGGCGTTGAATCACGTGTCAAGGCTGTGCAGAGATTTGAAGGAATCGATAGAGTTCTACACAAAAGTGTTGGGGATGGTTCTGATAGAGCGGCCACCGGCTTTCGATTTTGATGGGGCGTGGTTGTTCAACTTTGGAGTTGGGATTCACTTGGTGCAGTCCAAGGATGAGGACAGATTGCCTCATGATTCTCATCACTTGGACCCCATGGACAACCATATTTCTTTTCAGGTGATTCCTTATTAAAATTTCATGAATTAAAATATATTCTCTCTACATGTATATCCTTATACATGTTGTGATCAAATCTAGTTATCTAGTTAGAATAATATTATTACTTATAGGCTATTATAACACTAATTCAACCACTATCTAGAATAATAGAATTTATCATCATTAATAATACAAACATATAACAATATTAGTATGATTGCAGAACGGTAATTACCTGTTAAAAGAAAAGAAAAGAAAAATAGCAATTTAGGATGTTGGCGCTGTTTTCTGAGTCTTATTGTCGTTTTTAGTTCATTTAGTTTCCATGTCGTTTTGTTGGCTTTCGTTGTCGTTTTATCAAAATATAAGGCTGGCTAACCTTTTTTTGACAGTTTATGTTATGGTGAGACTGATCACGAGTCCTTTTCTTTCACTTCACCGTATTTATAACATGAGTTCTGTTACATTAAGGTGCATGGGGGTCATACGTGATCACCGTATATGAATAGACACCCGGCCAGTTGATTTCTGTTGTTCCCTTTTTGGGTTTCAATACATTTTATCCAATATTCTTAGCCAGAGTAACAATATATATAGATTTAATACTATGCAAGTATCATATTGTATTTATTCTTGTGATCTGGATATATGTGTATGGTATATATATTATTATATGCATGTGTTGCAGTGTGAAAACATGGAGGCAATGGAGGAAAGGCTGAAGGAGTTCAACATAAAGTACATGAAAAGAGCAGTGGAAGACGATGAGAATGGAACAGCCATAGACCAGCTCTTCTTCAACGACCCGGATGGACTCATGATCGAGATCTGCAACTGTGAGAATCTCAAGCTTGTCCCAGCTGGTACACTTGGCAAAATCAAGCTTCCTTTTGATCGTCACAATCCGCCCGTTGACCAAGTCAACGGTGTCGATGCGGATAACAATCACACAAATAGCATAAATACATACAACTTTTGATATAACTATTAGGCAATGGTTAATCCAACGAGTTGTATCTTAGTGGTTTTTCTTTGTTTGTTGACGAAATTATGGTATACATTCTGATAAAAGGCGTTATTAATATTTGTAATTGAGAAGGGGCACTATTTGCTTGAGAAACTTGCAAGACCTTGGGTAACAAAAGTGAGACGACATGTCGTACATGTCGTTTTTAAATAAACGACATGGTCATTACTAACATCCAAAGCTTGAATCACACAAACTTGCAGAAATATGGGACAAAAGTGCAAGAAAACTCGATCCTTTTGCTAAAGCACAAACAATGATCTTTCATTGCAATATTTGGATAAATTTACTTGTTCCTCTGAATCATATCTCCCACAAACCCCTCAAATTGACAATAACTTAATTGTGTCAAGACATAAAGAAAAAAGACTTGCAAATAATCTGGAAAAAGTTGCCTACCATCCTAATTCAAAGCTCAGCGAGTTTTGGTCTTATTCTGGCCCTGGAAGGCCTCCATTGCCGCACAGATCTTCTTCCAAGACCGGATCGTGATCAACGTCGGTATTACTATCCAGGGGGAATTGGCTCCAACGAAGTAGGAGTAGTAATAAAACGTACTCGCGGCGAATTTGTCACCATCCAAGAAAGCTGTTATGAAATATACGAAAGCTCCATAGAGCTGCCCCAAGGAAATGGCAATCTGCAGAATGTGACTATATGACTTTCGGGTAGCTATTGCGTACCTGCCAAAACCAAAGCACATTTCAAAGTCAGAGAAAACAAAAGAATCAACACATCAAACCATTTGAGAAATGGTATTGTATGAACTCTCGACAGTCAAAATTCTTATCAAGTTTCGTTAAATTTTCATACTATTTTTTCTCTCTTTTTTTTTTTGGTGTCTGAGATTTTGCCCTGATTAATCCACAAGATTTTTAGTCTAGTGTAATCTTTTATATGAATTGTCAGTCCTCCCAAGTATTGTTTTTTACGCCACCATAGAATTCTCCAAGAATGATCCTAGACTCAAACATGTGAAAAACGAAGTAATTGGCATGTCTAGTGAGTTTGTTTCCTTCTCATTACCGTGTTAGTGTGAACCAACAAAATTATAATTCGATTTTGGTACATCACGCATGATTTGAGTGATCAAGATAAGGAATTACAGTCCACAGTTTCCTTGCCTTGTTTCCTTTTCAATCGGAATAAACAACGCAATTACATATATAATAATAACTAAGAATAACATTCAGGCCCTAAACTCTCAATCACCATTCCCAAAATCCACAAATCCCACTCTAATAAGACTTCTACGCAAAAGTACATTATATATAATAACTTCAGTCTCTTGAACACCAGTTAACAAACACCTAAATCAAATACTCATTCTCATTTTTGCTCCTTTCTTATTCCAATTTCAATTCATAGTGGATCTGTGGCTCTGTGCTAAGAAAATTAGCATACGAAACAATTTGCCTGGATCCCATATGTAATGACTGAGAAAATTTCAGACTTTAAATAATACAATTTATTTATTTAAGCCAAAAATTTTCCTAAAAAATATTATGTGACTGAAGGATTTATGGAATTAATATCTGCATTCCTAAATTCTATAACAGATTTCATGTTAAGATCATGTTTTCGATCAAATAAATTCGATCGATAAATTCTCACCGTACTTTAAGGCAGAATAATTTTCAATACAAGTATAGTTTGAGAATCTTAATTTCAAGAATCTCCAAACACACCATGATGTTAGCAGCGTATAAAAAAACGCACTAACATTTTAAAAGAAGAGAAAATCCTTAATTGCCAGACAGCTAGGTTAAAGTTCAAGCTACAGTGGCGGCCTCATAGAAGGGTCGTCACAGTTGGTATCATATATATATATATATATATATATGGAGAAAAACTAAAATTGAGGCCCCACAGTTTTGATAAGAAACTGCTTAGTGATTATGGCTAACAAGATAGAAGTGAGGATAGTCCATAACCAATGGGAAAAACTATTAGAACAAAGTAGAGAGCCTCTACAAGTATTGACAGTAAGATTGCTCCTTCTTCACTCATACTCCAAGAGAAGGGCCGAGTACCCAGAAGAAAAATAGAATAAGTTAACTTGAGAAAAGATAGATTCTCCAAAGTATTAGAACAAGTATGTATAAATAAGCTATAGTTACTACTATTGCTAATGATAACGATATGGATAATGGAAACCCATTAAGAAAATGTTAAGATGACAGATTCTTGAGCCATCCCCCATATCAAATCACGATCCAGACAAAGAAATGCAGGAGTTAAGAGTAGAGAGCAAGTTGAGATCATGGATTAGTAGGAAAAAGACCCCATAGAAAGTAAGGTCAATAATCTCAGTAAGATCCTCGGGAAAGAATGAAAAACATTACAAACCTCGACTTCATTCTAATTTTAAAGATAAAATTTTTATAAGTTTAGTGAATTGTAATGTCGGGGGGAATTAGTAGATAAATAAGTATACTTATTCATGACTTTTTCCATAAATAAACCATGCATTCTATAGGTTTAAAACCTTTAAGTACACGTGCTCATATTAGAATGACGTGTAAAGTCTCAGTATGACAAGACTATGAAAAGCATAATAAGTATATCTTAGTATGTTTAAAAGTACCGTGAGACATGAAAGAAATGACTTAACGGTACACCATGTCAGATAGTGACTGAGAATATTCACTATGAGAGTGCAAAGTTTCAAGTAACCTGTATGACTTCAGATAAGTCACCACATTCTTAACAGTTCGGACAAATTGACGAACCAATAAGTAAGCATTCGATTAGTAATAACCAATAATATTTTAAGGTCTAAGCATTATTATGAGTGTAGAATTAAAGAATTATAGAATAATCTCATAATTTAATATGTAGTATTACAGTTTGTACTATGTAGTAGCCCCAAGAACCACAAGGATGAACATTTTAATCCTAAAATATATGAAAGTAGTACATGCCACTCAGAATTAGAGAGTTTCACGACAGTTGTATCGAAAGGATATTACGATAACCCAGGACCAAGATCAGATAGATCTGATACTGTAGTCTCAGCCGAATCAATGATAGAAATGTATAGTCTAAGTTTATGTTAAATTAAAAATAGTTCTGAGATCAATCACGACGGATTTCGTGGTAGGGTTGCCTAGAAAATCCAATAGTAACGTTGCGATTTGGATAATCAGAAACCGATTGACAAGATCTGCATATATTTGCTGATCAAACTCAGTTATTCTATTAAGAGACCGCCATTTCACGAGTGTACATGACGCAATGGGGTCAAGTTAAAGTTTAGTACAGCTTCCCCCCGCAGACATATGGCCAACCTGAGAGGACCATTCAGACCCTAGAAGATATGCTGAGAGCATGTGTCATGCATTTTAAAGGGAACTGGGATAGGAAGTTACCTTTGATATAGTTTTCCTATAACAACAACTATCACACGTCAATAGGAATGACACCTTACGAAGCTCTATACAGAAGAAAATGCAGGTCCCCAATTCATTAGTATGAACCTGGGGAGAAGCATTTAGAAATAGTATACTTTATCAGGAGAACCACAGAGAATGTGAGACTTATCACAAAGAAGTTCGATACAGCTCATAGTCGCCAGATGAGCTATGCAGATAAACGCCGTAGATTTATAGAGTTTCAGGAAGGAGACTTAGTTCTCCTGAAGGTGGCACAGATGAAAGGAGTAATGAGATCCTAGAGAGGATCTGTAAGGTCGCGTACAGACTAGCTTGCCGCTAGAATTGGCTACGGTACACAACGTCTTCCACGTGTTGAGATTGAAGAAATATGCGACAGATCCATCGCATGTATTGCACCAGAAACTTGTCAAAGTGCACGTAGACCTCACTTACGAGGAGAAACCAGTTCAGATCCTAGCTAACAAGGAGAAAACCTTAAGGAATAAAGTAATTCCTTTGGTTAAACTCTTGTAGTGAAATCATAATATTGAGAAAGCTACTTGAGAACGCAAAGAAAAAATGAGGAAAAGTTACCCCAAGTTCTAATTTTCGGGACGAAAATTCTTAAGGGAGGTAGATTGTAATGACTGAGAAAATTCCAGACTTTAAATAATACAATTTATTTATTTAAGCCAAAAATTTTCCTAGAAAATATTATGTTACTGAAGGATTTATGAAATTAATATCTGCATTCCTAAATTCTATAACAGATTTCATGTTAAGATCATGTTTTCGATCAAATAAATTCGATCGATAAATTCTCACCGTACTTTAAGGCAGAATAATTTTCAATACAAGTATAGTTTGAGAATCTTAATTTCAAGAATCTCCAAACACAGCATGATATTAGCAGCGTATAAAAAAAAAGCACTAACATTTTAAAAGAAGAGAAAATCCTTAATTGCCAGACAGCTAGGTTAAAGTTCAAGCTACAGTGGCGGTCTCATAGAAGGGTCGTCACACCATATAATTGGATTGATCAAGAAAATGAGTCACAATCCTAAGTCCCCTTTTCACTTGAAATAAACAGATCAACAATAACACCCAACCCTGCTTATTTGAGAAAAAAAAATTACAAAGATATATAAATAATTGAATGGTTTCTATCACTGTTCCTTCATTCAACAAACGTCATTTAGCAAATCTGCTCAATTCCCATTTTCATTTCCAAATTTCATTCTCTTTCCATTTCCAAATTTCATTTCTACAGGATTAGCATTTAGCAATTTATAATATTATGCCACTAGATCTTACATGGCTAGAAGGGAGGCAGGACCCTCTAAAACTGATGTTATTCCTTCAACAGCAACAATTGCAGCATCCCTACCAGCATATCTCGAATCCCCTTTGCTGTACTCTTTCCCTGCCAAAGACATAAATAAATAAATAATCACAAAACATAAAAAATAAAAAACTCCATGACCCCTTCAACGATTAGTGATCATAACCCACTAAAGATCCGAACTTTATCAAAGAAGAAGACATACAAACTTCAGCCAAGTAAAAAGCAGTCTTGTCCTTGTAGAATTCAGGAGAGAAGGTGAAATAGCCTTCGAGAATCGAGTGGGTCAGTGCAGTGAAAACCCACCAGCACATTAGCAATCTATCCACTTTAGTTATCTTGGGAAATCTCCCTAAAAAAAACACACAACAACATCAAACAAGCAAAAATTCAGAAAAGAAAAGTGAAAAACTTGGGATTTGAAGATGTGGGTTTGTTCGAAATTGGCGAAAAACGGAGAGGAGAGAGAAAGTCGGGGTGACTTAGAGAGAGAAAGAGAAGAGAAATGAGGGGCTACCGGAGAAGATCCAGATGAGGGAAACGACGAAAATGGAGACGCCGAAGTAGATGCCGATGATGGTGGATTGGGGAAGGACGACTGGTACGTATCCTTCGAGTTTCAAGTCTGCGGGAGCGTACGGATGAGACTGTGATTCCGCCATTTTTGCTTCTTCAATCTCTTTCTCTCTCTAGAGCGTACTAATGTGACGCGTATTTATCTGAATCGAATCTGCCATTTTTTGGGAAAGTCAAACGTATCAAACTTTGATTTTTCCGCCCACTAATAAAAAGGAGCGTCTACGGCAGTGCGCACGTCTGGCATCGTTGATACTACTAGTAGTGTTCAGACTTCGGGCCACTCATATTCAGACCAACGGCTGAGGTTGACGAGTCCCCTAAAAGTCAATGTGCGCACAACCGCATAGGATAATAGAATAGTGTGAAATCTGATCTAGGAACCAAAAGTGTGCTAAAAAGTGTATTAAGACCACGTCTATTTTATCAATTTGAGTTTAAAATTTGAGTTTTATTATAGTAAAGAGTCATTAGAAATATTCATATCTAATTTTTTTACTACAGTAAAAAACTCATATAAAATCACATCTCAACTCAACTTAAAAATAAAGACTCGTTCATTTCACCGATTCGAGTTTTCAGTTTTAAGTTTCTACAGTGAAAAGCTCTCAAAAAATGTCACATCTAATTTTTTCTGCTACAGTAAAAAGCTCTCAGAAAATGTCACATCTCAACTCGAATCCGCGAAATGAATGAGGCCTTAAATTAACGAACTAAACGGACCATAAGATTTCTTATTAAAATTGCACAATGAAATAAAATAAGGATAATTATAATAATAAATGTATTATCTAACATCCCAACTCTAGATGCCACTATAATAAACATCGAGAATTTACTAGACAAAAACGAAAAACGTAAATTAGAGTGTGACTATGTAAACAAAAGGAATAATTGGCAATGTGAGGGTGTCAGCTTCAAAGCTTGAAGATGATGCTGAGTAACATGATAATCAATCTCAACATGCTTAATTTATTTATGAAAAATTGAATGACATGTAATCTGAATAGCACTTTTGTTGTCACAATAAAATAGAGTAGGTCAATGAAGTAAGACACTCATATATGCAAGTAACCAATGTAACTAGGCTATCTGGTGAGTGGTAGAAGTCATGACACGATACCATGCATCCGTAAAAGATCTAGAAACGACATCTTGCTTATTGTTCTTCCAATATATGAGAGAATCACCGAGAAGCACACAAAAGGTAGTGGAGGACTTACGATCTGTATGGTCAATAGCCCAATCAACATCAGAGGAGGCATGCAACTCTAAGAACGAAGTAGCTTGAAGTAGAAGACTTTGAAAACTTAGTACCAAGGAGATATCTCAAAATAAGAATAACAACAGCCCAATGAATGACAGTAGGTGAAGTAACAACTTAAATAAACACATGAATAACATGTGCAATATCTGTTGGTTCCTGAATCGAATTCGGCTGCGAAAGCGTGGCGGAGAGGCGGATCGTGTATAACAAAAATTTTCATAAAACATTTGAGATACTCTATAGATTATATTAATTTATGCACAAATAAATTAATCGCATTAATTTACAGCAAGAACACAATCCGGAAAAATGCCTGGAAGCCGAGTCGGATGATAACTTGAATTCTTTGACCACGAACAGTCCTTGCTCCAAGTTTGTGTTTAGAATACCAAAGTCTTCCACGTCAATTTCTTGATTCCACGTAGACGTGTGTGTGGGCACACGTGAGACAAAATAGGTTCTTAAACACTTGAATTTCCACAAATACCAACGCATGCACGATGTGGAATTTTTTGGGAGAAAAAATTTTCTTCTCTTTTTCCTTTGAGTAAATTCGGCCACACTCAAGTTAGGGCAAAAAAGTGTTTCAAAAATTGTCCACAATTTTCTATCATTCTCATATTTAAAGAGTAGAAGTCAAACTTCAAAACAGAATCAACTCCCTATCTCCAATTTTAAATTTGGAACAGAAAATCCCTTCCCCTTATCTCCAAGGTGGCCGGCCACACTGTTAGGGTTTTACCCTATGTGTGGCGCCAATAGCAGATAGGGAAGGAAGAGAAAACATCTTTTATCCTGTAGTCCAATTTTAATTCAAATTCAAATTCGAATTTAAGTCAAACTTAAATTAATTTGAATTCTAAATTGAACAACTTATCAAATAAGTTCAAAAGGATAAATTTAAATTATGTTCACAATTCAAATTCAAATTTAAATAATCACATTATTTAAATAATAATTAATTCTCAATTAATTATTTTTCGAGTATTTAATTTTAGAATTCCGTAATTCTAAAATTC